CAAAGGGCTCAAATCCTGCTTTACACAGTTAAAAGTGTGCAACCATGGACAAGTAAATTAACCTTCTTGAGCCTCAGTTTCCTCATCGGTAAAATGGGGATAATAACAGCACCTGCCTCAGAGGGATCTCATGAAATAAGGCAGCTAAAGTGTCTTAAGAATCTCAAAGCATGCTCACTCTCTTTTCTATGCCCTTGTTTACAGATCAACGAATTTATTGATCTGCTGGTGGCTGAGAACCCAAACCTTGTCAGTAAGATTCAAATTGGCAACAGCTACGAGGGCCGCCCCCTCAATGTTCTGAAGGTACCAGAAGCCTAGACATCCATGTACCCTTAGTGTCTCCTCCCCTCCTGCCCCCGCCCCAGGTACAACCATAACCACTACCACACACATCGGTGTATCCATTCATGCCCAAGAACATTTACGTATTCTTAGTCTTACGGACTTCATCATGCATATGTGCATATAGCCATACAAATGGACCCAGTCCCACAGGTGACTCAGATATTTCCAGGTTGATATTTTTCTTATAGAATATCTTGGGTTCAGATGAAGTCTATTGCTTCCATACTTCCCACAGGGGATTTAGAAATCTGTACAGAGCCATAACACGGACAGGACAGCATGAGTTTTGTCTCAGGACACAAAAATTTAGAGGGTATAAAAAAAATAAAATAATGATTTTCAAAGATAGTATTTTGAACACACCTGAACTCAAACAGTGTTAAGCAAGGGAGTTTGGGAGGGAAGGTTCTAGCAGGTGGGGGGAATCAGGCAAGGCTTTGTGCAGAAGATGGTGCTTGACTAGCATTTTAAAGGAAGAGAAGAACTCTATGAGGCAGAGAGAAGGAAAGAGTACCTAGGCATGGGGGACAGTCAGTGTAAAGTCACAGAGATGGAGGTAGAGAGTAGAGTAGAGAAGCCACTTTGGCAGGATCACAGGGTGTGGGAAGAGGAATAATGTCTAATGAGGTGGGAAATATAATTTAGGGCCAGGTTACATAGGGGTTTAAAAGTTAAACAGTGGAGTTTATATTTCATCCTAGAGACAATAGGAAGTCAACAGAATTGGTTGAGTTTAGAGGCTTCAAAAACAAGCTCACATGGTGAGATTTGCTCTTATTATTTTGGCAGTAATGTATAGGATAGACTGACATGGGGAAAGACTCATTCAAGGCAGGAAGAGCAAATAGGAGGTTTGCTCTATAATAATATCTAGGGGAGAGGTGATGAGGGCTTGATTTAAGGTGGTAGCTGTATGGGTAGCGAGAAGGGGTCAGATGTGAGAAATCTTGTGATGATAGAAAACCACAACATCTGCTCTGGGGCAGGCCCAAGTTTCCAATCTAAACCAGCTCCTCCTGAGAAAGGAGCTCTAAATTGTAGAGTAGATTCCATCTCTTTAGGGGTTGTCTGCAGCAGGGATGCCTCCCTCATCCCAAGTTTTTTTAAATTTTTTATTTTTTTCTCCTTATCCCAAGTTTTAACTCATCTGTCCCTTCAACCTCAGTGGTGGCTAAAGGAAAACCTCCATAGCTCCTTATCTCCTGTCTTTGTTAAGGTTTCATGACTGATTCAGAGAAAAGGGTCAGATGTCATTTCAAGACTTCTTGATGGAGACCACTTGGTCCGTGAGGCAATAATGATGCTTCTCGTCATGCTTCCCCCTGCATGAAGAAGACAGACACGCAGAGTGTGCTGGCAGGGATGAGTTAGGATGTAATCACTGACTTCAAGTATTTGAAGGGCCACCCCGAGGAATAGAGAGCCTGAAATTATTTTGCTTGGCTCCAGAAGGCAGAACCACATAGATTTAGGCTTGAGATATGGAAAGCCTTCCTAACAATTTGAATGGTCAAAGTGAAAAGGGGCTGCCTAGAGAGGATCCCTCCGCCTGAAGCTCCTCAGGAGGAGGTTGGATAACAAACCCTTGTTATTGGTGCTGTGGAGGCCTGGGCTGGGCTGGAGTAGGTTGAGCCCTGGATGCATTTCTGACTTTGAGATTCTGGGATTGCTGTTATCATCAGGCCTGGTACCCAGTCCCAGCCCTCCCTTCAGAATGCCAGGATATTTGGTGGGGGAGAGGAAAGCTTCCTAGCCCTGGATGATTGGCATGGGCTCTGTAGGCACCTCATTATGCCTCACATCTTAAGAGAATAGGGCAGGAGAGAGACAACTGAGTGTGGGGAAGTTTCTAGTATCAGACTTTTTCCTGTAGAGAAAATGAGACTTGAAGCTCAGAACACAGATCTGCTGAGGAAGGTAATCAGTTGAGAGACTGTACTGAACTTTATCCCTCTCTTTCTTCTCCAGTTCAGTACTGGGGGAAGCAATCGCCCTGCCATCTGGATCGACACTGGCATCCATTCCCGGGAATGGGTTACCCAGGCCAGTGGAGTTTGGTTTGCTAAGAAGGTAAGACCTGGGGATCGGATTTAGAGGGAAGAGGAATCCATTCACCGTCTGAACTGGGAGGAAGGAATATGGTCCTGGGGCGACCTGCAGGCTTTATGCTCCAGGAGAGTGCCTTCAGGTCCTTACTCTGCTCACCCAAGATTCCACTCCTGCTGGGGCCATTACTTCCCATGACTTTGGAGGGGCCGGGCAAAATTGGGTACTATTGGTCTCAAGAACCTGGGCCTTGTTAGTCTGAGTCACAGGCCAAGGGGTGAAGCTGACTCCTCTCAGTCTCCCACTTCTCCCTTTGTTTGGAGAGGAAAGTTGAGGGAAGCTAATTTTTCTTCCTAGGATACCAGCCTCTTTGTGTTTCTTATTTTATCCCTCTTTCACCTAGATCACTGATGACTATGGCCAAGATGAGAAGCTCACTGCCATCCTGGATTCTCTGGACATCTTCCTAGAGATTGTCACCAACCCTGATGGTTTTGCCTTTACCCACTCCTCGGTATAGTGCCTTTCCCTTGCCCCACGTTCCTAGGCTTCTAGGAGGGCTCTCCTAGCTAGGTTTCAGTTCCATGGTCCCTGGGAAAAGGATAGCCTCATGAGCCGACAAACTGAGCCATCCACGTAGGGTCTACCAATCCATGGAGACAAAGGGTGGACTGGTGAGTCCTTGCCTTATTTGGACATCTCCTACAGTTGCTGGTCCAGTCACAAGAGGATAACCCTATGTTTTCTTTACTTTCTGCCCGTCCGACGTCAGCTTGCTCTCTACTACAAACCCATCTTTCTTAATTACTGAATATACTGGATTAATCCCTACCTCCCCACCCTTCTCCCTGCTGCACTAAGTGACAGTATTCTCATTTCCTGGATAGAGCCCAAATTAAAGGGCTCTTCATGCTCATTTTCAAATCCCGCCTACTGCACAAAGCCCTCCCTAATGACTTTGGACCAATGGGATCTCCCTCCTTTCCTCCTTTATAGTCAGTCTCACATGACTGAACTCGAAATTGTTATCTAATGGTTTGACCTAGATTAATTCTGCTCCCTAGCCAGTTTGTTGATTCCTGATTATAAACTCATCAAGATCAGGGGCCGTGTTAACCAGCCCAGTCCTGGGCACCTTAGGTGTATCTTTGTTGGTTGATTGATTTTCCCTTCCTCGTTCCAGAACCGATTGTGGCGTAAGACCAGGTCCATTAGTGCTGGATCCAGCTGTGTTGGTGTGGACCCCAACAGGAACTGGGATGCTGGCTTTGGACGTAAGACAAGATAAGGCTCCCAGGGTGGGATCAATGAATCAATCAACAAGAATTTCTTAAGTGACTATTGTAGGCCAGGTATGGTGCTAGGGGCTGGAGATACAAGTACAAAGAAAATGAAATAATCTCTACTCAGAGGAAACTTATATTCTAACAGGGGTGACAAGCACAAATAAAATATATACAGTACAAACATAAAGTTCATAAATACATTTGTTGCTGTTCAACTCTTCGTGACCCCTTTTTGGGGGTCTCTTGGCAAAGAGACTGGAGTGGTTTGCCATTTCCTTCGCTAGCTCATTTTACATTTGAGGAAACTAAGGCCATCAGGATTAAGTGACTTGCCCAGGGTCACACAGCTAATAAGTAACTGAGTCTGGATTTGAACTCAGGTCTTCCTGACTCCAGGCTTAGCACTGTATCTACTGTACCACCTACCTGCCCTATATAAGTACATTAAAAAATAGTTAAATACAAGGTAATTTAAGAAGGAAGGGGCTTAAAAAAAAAGAAGGGGGCTTGATGTTGGGGAGATAAGGAGAGGCTTCCTGCAGAAGATAGTACTTGAGTGGTATCTTAAAGGAAAAAGAGGGTTGCTATGAGTCAGGTAAAGAGCACAGATTTAAAGCTGGAGGGGGCCTTGAAGGCCACGTTCTTGGTTAAGTTCTTACCATGTGCTAAAGCTGGTGACAAAATACAAGAAACAATGTGGTCCCTGCCCTCAAGGAGTCTATATTCCAATGGAGGACCATCCACAAAGGGGACTGAGGGGACCGTCTAGTAGCATGATATGGAGATGGCTGAGAAGTAACATGGGGGTCAGGTCCTGGGCAAGATAAAGCAAGGCTCATCTCTCAGGGTCCAGCATCCTAGGGGCAGTCTAAGGTTCTAGATCATGTTCTTAATCTTTTTTTTAATGACACGAATTCTTTCGGCTATTAGGTGTAGCCTATGGAACCCTCCTCAGAATAATGTTTTTAAGTGCATAAGATAAAATGTATAGGATGATAAAGGATACAAATTACATTGAAATGCAGTTATTAAAAAATTTTTTTTAAAGTTAATGGCGGGGCTTCTAGTTAGATAGATATGGCACTGGTTCTGGAGTCAGGAGGACCTGAGTTCAAATCTGGCCTCAGACACTAGCTGTGTGACCCTGGGCAAGTCACTTAACCCCAATGGCCTAAAAAAAAAAAAAGTTCATTGAGGCTGGGTTAAGAAGCCCTGTTCTGGGGACCCCTAGGTGGCGCAGTGGATAGAGCACTGGCCCTGGATTCAGGAGGACTTGAGTTCAAATCCAGCCTCAGACACATAACACTTACTAGCTATGTGACCCTGGGCAAGTCACTTAACCCCATTACCTAGCCAAAAGGAAAAAAAAAAGAAGCCCTGTTCTGGTCCAACCCTTCATTTTACAAAAAAGGAAACTGAGGCTCAGTTAAGTAATTTGCCCAAGGTTATAGTGAGTGACAGAGGAAGGTTTAGAAACTGACTCCAGATCCATTGTTCAGTCTTATGGGACAGAACAAACCTTGTGCAGTGGAATCAGCACTCCCTTGTGAGTGGGGAGGGGTGTTGGGAGGTCAACCGAACCTCCTGAAGCCTGGGATTGCTCCTCAAGGAAAGATGCTGAGGACTGCCCCCAGTCTGAACAAGTAAATCCCAAGAAATGGAGTGATGTATGATGAGAAGGATGTGTTTAGGGCTATTCTAGCTTAATCCTCAACAAATCCCTTATCCATCTATAGCATTTATATGGCATCTACCATGTGCCAGGCACCGTGCTAAGCACTTGACAAATATCATCATGGCAGGTGAGTGCTATTATGAACCCCATCTTGCAGATGAGGAAACCGAGGCAAATAGAGGTTAAAAGACTTGCCCAAGCTAGTATATCTCTGAGGCTATATTTGACCTCAAATCTTCCTGACTCTAGGCCCAGCACTCTATTCTCTCTCTCTCTTTACAAGATAGTAACAAAATTGCTGTTCTGCCCTTCTTTTGGTTTTTGTTTTTTAGTATTTTAAAAACAGGTTTTTATTGATGCTCTTTTTTCATATCAATCAGTGCCCCCTAACCTCCCAACCTAGCATCACTAGAGAGGGGTTCATCAGTAATCTCTGTGTTCCCTTTCCAACTCAGGCTGTGCTGGACCTAGAACTTAAGCATTAGTCTCTACCCTCCCGATGCCTCACATCTGCCACTCTGAACCCTCCCTGTCTCTGTGTGGGTGGTTCTCATCTCACTCCTTTCCATTTTTCCTTGGGCCCCAAACACACACACACACACACAAAATAAAAAGATGGACTAAGAGAAGCTACTGACTCTGGTTTTGAAAATACTAAACCTTGTCTTGTTTCCTACAGTGTCTGGAGCCAGCAGCAACCCCTGTTCAGAGACTTACCACGGCAAGTTTGCCAACTCAGAGGTGGAGGTCAAGTCCATCGTAGACTTTGTGAATAGCCATGGGAACATCAAGGCTTTCATTTCCATCCATAGCTACTCTCAACTCCTCCTCTATCCTTATGGATACACCACTACCCAGGCTGCCCATCAGCCCGAGCTGGTACGTTCAATCCTCTGCCCAGTCCCCACTCCAGCCCTCACCAACCTGTTCAAAGGAATAGTTAATTGTCTTCTTTATAATCTTGATTTTTATATGCCGCGTGTGCTGAAAATAAGGCACACGCATGTGTTACTTTTCCCTCCTGTTACATCCATGATTCCTCACTAGCCTGGTGTGGTAGCTCATTTTCTAGTTGGGGAATGAAAGACATTGGGTACCATATTGTAGGTTCCAAAGCAAGGGGTCGAGGCGACCTTCAAGCTCAGGGTGAGATTGCTTCACACGGCCTTGTTGGTGGGGAGGAAAGAGCCGGGCTAATGGAATATTGAGTGTCTTCTAAACGCTCCATTGTGGGTCTGCCTGCCAGTCTTACAGTCTGCCCACAGAGAACAGCAGAGAGCTGAAGAAAGCAGACGAGGGGAATGCAAGGGAACTGTGCCTCTGGCTGGCACTGCCTAGGTGGCTGGTTCATTTGGGAGGGTGCCTCCACCTAGTGCCACGCTCCTCACTGGATGCTGAGCCGGGTTCTCCACCAGTCATGAGATTATTCTATAGTCATTCTTCGTCTTCCCCATCTCTAATGCTGTAGTCCCCATGTGTCCTCAGGAGATCTTTAGACTTCTTCCTTTTATGACCAGTGTGTGTGTGTGTGTGTGTGTGTGTGTGTGTGTGTGTGTG